AATGAGGCATAAGGAAGACACTGATCAATGGGAAATATTGTATGTCATTTAATTATAGCTCTATTTTAGTAGAATGATAATATTAAACTTTCTATTAGACATGTGACACTCATAGTCTAATGTCTTCTGTACGTTAGCGTGTCAGGTATGGTTTCCACCTCATATACTGACCCTTGAGTTTAATCAGAGTAGTTGGTTATTCCCATAACATTTGTGCCACCAGCAGACCTTGTACACCTTTGTTGGTTCCAGGATTTATATCTGGGAGGTATTGGTGATTATATTTTTCCTCAGGTAGTATGCAAAGTTCCTTTTTGCATCATGAAGGCAGGTCAGTGTTGGTAATGCTTCTATTTAGGAACCAGCTCAACAATGTTGGAATATGTCATAGGTAATAGAACTTTTCAGGTTTGGGATAGCATTCAATATATTTGGCACTATTTTGTGATGTTTGCTGATTTCCTGCAGCCCTATTGTCTAATAAGTCAGTAAAATATAACCCATTCTTGGAATTTCAGGTTTTACTTGGGGGCATAGGATATGTAGTTGTGACATTGTCTCCTGCAGTATATTGTGGCTCCATTTAGATCTCTTTCATATTTGTCTGCAATTTAGGAAGCTTCGACAGTAGTAGGATACCATAAGGGTTTGCAAAAGGACATTAGTGTTAGTTATCTCTCCTCATAAACATCCCTTACCTTTTTATCCCATCCCCTTGCCAATTGATCTTCCAATTCCAGGTTCTCCCTTTGCTCTCCACAACACTGTCTCATATTTATTCTTCCTTGGGAGCTCTTCTCCTCCTTCACAGTCCTATCTTGTTTGGATATTCAGTTTGTAGCACACAGATTATAAGCCCAAAATTTAAAATCCAAATATAAGAGTAAACATATAATATTTGTCATTAGTGGTCTTGGTTACTTTTAGTTAGGAATATTTTTCTCTAGTTTGATCCATTTACCATTTTGTTTTTCCTTAAGTGTTGCATAATATTCCACTTGTAACATGTATAAATGTAACATATTTTCTTGATCCATTCATCAGCTGTTGAAATATATTTTTTCTGATTGCTGGCTGGTATGAATAGAGCAACAATTAACGTGGATCAGTAATTATCTCTGTGCTAGGGTATAGAAGGTATATATGCCTAAGAATGATACATTTGTATCTAGAAGTACATCAATTCCATCTTCCTGAGGAACCACCACAAGGATTTCCATAGTGGTTGTTTCTGTTTATACTCCCATCAGGTTTTTCATATATATCCCCTTTCTCCACATCCATAATAAGCTGTCTGTCACTTATTTAATTGATCTTGCTGAATCAGATTGAAACAAAATAAAATTTCAAGATAGTATTCATTTTCATTTTCCTGATTGCTAAAAACACAGTAGAAATATCAATAAAACAAGGTCTTTGAGACACAATAGACATGATACACATAGGTGATCACAGAGATCGTGGCTGCATGCACAGGTCTAAGCCAGATGGGGTCCCAGTGCTGAGAGGATCAGTGGAAACAAACTCCTATCTCTAACACAGAATCTATATCTAATTGATAACTTCTTGCAAAGAAATAGTTATTTTTCTTCAATAATCCATCACTAGTCATACAAACTACACTTAAGACTAGGTCCCATGCCCAGCAGTAGACTTCAAATATGAAACAAACTCATTGGTACTTTTGGATGTTTTTGTCTCAAAATTCTTTTTCTGTACTTAGTTTAATCTTAAAATTCTCTTTATTACAAATCAACATTTCCAATATTGTGTTTTTACATCTATTTGTGTGTTTCTGGGAGTATATTTGTTTCAGATGCTCTTTATTTTACTCTTATTTTCTGTTTGTCTGTTTCAACCTACGCTGGCTTTTTTGTTTTTATTGTGTTCTGTTTATCAGATGCCTGTTTGCTCTTTATTGACAGATAAACTAAGTGTGTGGATTTGGATATGTGAGGATGTAAGCAGCATCTGGCCGGTGGTGGTGAGGAACTCAGATCAGATTGTACTGTATGAAAAATTCTATTCAATTAAAAATAGGATTTTTTTAAAAGAAGCAAATAACAGCTCAATGAAATCAAGGAGGAAAACAGAAATTAAAGAGAATAAATGTCTTGGCTATGTCCAGGAAAACAGGAATGTTTGTCTTAGAGAGATGACAAAAACTAGCCAAGACTTAAGAACATAGTTAAATTAGGACATTGCAGGGCAATGCAGCTAAAATAAAGATGGAATTGAAAGCCGGGCTTGGTGGCACATGCCTTTAATCCCAGTACTCAGGAGGAAGAGACAAGTGGATCTCTGTGAATTCGAGGAAAGCCTGGTCTACAGAGCAAGTTCCAGGACTGGCTCCATAGCAATACAGAGAAAACCTGTCTCAAAAAGCCAACATAAATGAATGAATGAATGAATGAATGAATGAATGAATGAATGAATAGATGGAATTGAGACCCCAATAGGCCACATAGATACCTCTCAAAGAAGGCTTACTATTAGGATGAATGAGGCAGAAGACAGAGTATCAAGTCTTGAAGACAAACAAAAGACACAAATAAAAAAAATGAAAGGTTTAAAATAAATCACACATGGAGAAGGAGCACATAGGAAATTTGGTACACAAGGGGAAAACTCTAAAACTTCAAATTATATATAGACCTAGATGAGGGTACTTTAAAATTAATGGCATAGGCATGTCTTCACCAAGATCACATAGAAAATTTTCTACAAAGAATGACATATCCATACACATAAAATAATCATGCTGAACCAGGCAAAACCAGCAAAGAAAATCAATGGAATGTTATATTTATATCACTTAGTTTCTAAACAAAGAAAGTGATTTGAGACATGCAAGAAAAGAAAACTCTAGTAACATATAAAGGAAAATCCATCATAAAAAGATGACAGTTTATCTATAGAAATTTTGAAAGCCAGAAGAGTTTGGAGCAATATGTTCCAAGGTCTACAGGGCTATGATG